CCCCAAAACCCCAAAACCCCAAAACCCCAAAACCCCAGCCCATTAAAACCCAATTGAATTATATTTATCAAAGATGTCCATTAGGTGAGATTTAAGTGGTCCTGCTCAGCTAGCTTAAAAGCTATGATTAGTTCTATCCAAAGTTCTACGGGATTTCATTATTTCAATATTTTTGCATCTAATCTGTAAATAGTGGAGAACTCCAAAAAATTAAAGAAGCCTGAACCAGGTTGTTTCACTTTGAAGAGAATTGGAAGATTAATAAGAGCAAAGAGTTTAAGGCTGCCTATAAGGAGAAGCAGCTTGCTTATATTAGAGAGAACTGGAAGGCCCTTACTTTTAATCTCAGAATTCTTATGATCTGCATTATTGTTGTATTGGGTTTATGCAGTGAGAATTCAACCATATTTGTTGTCAGGACGGTGACACTAATCCTATTAATAATATTCCTGTCTTTCTTCCAAAACATTGTAGAAAAATATGAATTGGCAGCCTTATACTCTGGGAGTATTTTCTCAATGCTGGTAGTGATTGCTTTCACAGAGATAAATACCACTTTGGGCCATTTCAGGTAAACTATTTAGGAGTCAATAACGTAAATTTCAATTCATATTTTTCCTTAATGCTTTTTTAGATAATATATTTATTGGGCCCTCCTATTTAATAGACTTACTAGAAGAGAGATGAGCCTTTAATAATTTATCATAGGCTAGCATAGCCATTTCAAGTATTATTTTCGACTTCGACATATATTAATTTAACCTGTTTTTACCTTTGGCACTGGAAACATCCGGTATTTTTGCTCAAAGTTATTCCGAATTTTTATTAACTGAAACTCCATATTTATTACCGGCTTATTGTTAACTTTGTGCGTAGGCTTTATGAAGGATTCATGACTCAGATATCACTGAGCTTCTTAATGTCAGTGTGCATGTCAACCAACTGGATCTTGGCCACTTTACTGTTGTTCATATCCTACCTTTATTATCTAGCCAGGATGATGACAACTTTTGATAACATCCCTCATGAATTAGTAATAGCCTTCTGTGAGACTTGTATATTTTATGCTCTCGGGACATACCTCAACTCAAGAACTTTACAACGAGAACTGTCTTCCAATTACAAGGCGGAAGCCTCTTCGAAAGAGTTTAAGAATTTTTTGAAATGTCTTCCAGAAGGAGTGTCGATTGTCGACCATGAAAATTTTGAGCTAAAATTCTTTAATTCAAAACTCAAGAAAGCTTTTGAGATCGGACTTTATTGTAATCAAGAAAGTAAGGTTAAGGAATTTGAAAAACTAAAAACTCAGATAGACCAAGAGTTTAATGAAGTAATGCAGAAGGATAAGGAGAACTTTCTGGAAAGCCCATGAGAGAATGAGCCATTACAATCTCTGATGAAGAACTTCAAAATTATAGATAGCTCAGATATCATTAAAAGGAATGCTTCTTCTCAAGAAGTCTCTGAATATTTTGAAAGCCAAAGAGTTCAATCTCAGGTATTAAATTTGGAGCAATATTCATTGATATCTAAAACTCAGAAAATTGGCAGCTCAGAAGATGTAAATCTTGTTGAATTTTTGAAACAAGAAAGAGAGAATTTGAAGAACCAAAAAAGGCGTGAAAGAGAATCGAAGATTGCAGTATACTTTGATCCGTTTAATCATATGAAAGGGATTGAAATGATTAAAAGAGAGTTTGTCATAAAAACACGTAGAGTAAATACAAGTAGCCCTGATAAATCAAAGCCTTCTATGTACTTACATATTTTCAGTGACACCACTCAAATCACCCAGCTTGAAGAGCAGAAAGCCCAGAACAGATACCAGAAACAAATGTTAGCCAATGTGTCTCATGAATTCAGGACCCCACTGAATGCTATGTCTCTGAGCCTGATGCTTTTAAGAAAGAAGATCAGAGGGCCTCAAGCCAAGCTTCTCAGGATTGCCTCATCTAGTTGCGATATTTTGAGTTCCCTGGTTGAAGATATCTTGGATCATGCAAAGATAGAGTCTGGGATGTTCGAAACTCAACAAGATATCTTTCAAATCTCAAAACTTCTTGATGAGATCAAGGATATCTTTGAATTGCAGACATTAAATAAGAGTATACAACTGATCATTTCAATTGATGAAGAGCTTAAGGATTCTTTCTTGAGCACAGATAAGCAAAGGATCAAGCAAGTCTTGATGAACTTGCTCTCTAATGCTTTGAAATTCACTGATCATGGATCGATCAAAGTTAGAGTTGAGAAGCTTCATCAACAAAGAGAATATTTTGAAGGTACATTTCATTATTATTTCTTTAACATTCCCTACCTCCAAGGATAATTCTTCGTTAGATAATACAAATTTTTCACCTACTTAACCAGAATTTATTTAGAATTAGAAGAGAATAAAGAAGACTTTAAATTCTTTGAAGAAGATACACTTCAAAATGGTTCTGTGAGATCAAATGACTCCTCTTCAGAATACAGTATAAGCCAAGAATTTACTTCAAGACCTCAAGTTCCAAGGGTTGAAAAATATACTATTAATCCTGATGAAAAAGAAAATTATTTTAGAAATTTCAGGGCAAATATACCAATGCAGGCAAACTTAGAAGAAGATGATCTATCATTATTCAAACCATGAAGAAATATTAAACTCAAATTAACGGTTGAAGATACAGGTATCGGAATCCCCTTGAGCGACCAGTCCTCTCTGTTCAAGCTCTTCGGAAAGACCAGCTCCAACCACAACCGCAACAAGACTGGCTGCGGCCTAGGGCTTACCATCTGCAGGAAGATCTTGCAGAAGCTAGGAGGAGACATCACTTTAGAGTCCCAAGAAGGCAAAGGCACCAAATTTACATGCATATTTGAGTGCAAGTACTAAATCAAAAATCTAACCATCCTACTTACCTACCATCCGATTAATTATTTACAGCATTATTATTTCAATAGACATTAAGATCTCTGGGGTTTTGGGGTTTTGGGGTTTTGGGGTTTTGGGG